ATCATTGTAAAAATGTGTTATGAAACTACTTTGAAATGATGTACAAGGAACTTTAGACCTTTAGGAGCAGCCCATTATCTTTCAAAAGTCAAATATATGGCTAAAATGTTCTTAGGATTATTTATTGGACTTAGACAGTAGTGTTTCTTCTCAGGCATAGCTACATTTTTGGTTAGGCAAATATTATTGCAAATGAAGTAATACACCTGAAAATATTAAGAGATTTAAATTTAGACAGGGTTTTTGGTGGGATTACTGAGATACTGAATTGTTTTAGAATTTATTAATTGTGGGTCAAGGAAGGGAATGAAGACCACCAAGGACAAGCTTTTGCATATCTAAATTGTCATAATTGACTAGGCTATTTATACTGTAGAATAATAAAAGACAAACTGAAGGATATATTCGTAGGAAAAAATAAGTATAGCAAAATGCATTTTAAGTGGCTGAAAATAAGGAAAAATAATGCAAATGGAAACTTTCAAGGCTGATGTGGAAAGGGGTTACTGTTGGATAGCTTGAATATGGGGCAGTTAGTCTTAAGAGACAGATAAGTAGCGTTTGAAAATAATGCAGGATTTCCTTGGTCCCATCACCTTCTGCTGAATGAAAGTGAAGTGGGTTAGATTCTTGAACTGGGAGTAGTGGAGATGGATGCTTCGAGGAATTCAGTGCAGCAACACCAACGAGCTTGGGGGGAGGAAACGCTTGTGAATCATCTTAGCTATGGGATACAACACGTGGTAGAAAGTTACAGATTCTTTCTCTGGCATCACAGGGAATAGCTGGGGGTGGAAGGAGGGGAATTCTGAAAACTATGGAGGGCCACCACTAGAAAACACGATGCCAGATGAACTTGGTATAAGGCTTTGTTTCTTATTTTTAAGATTCATCCTTTCATAATTATATGCCATTCCCATATTCTGATGCTGCAAAAATTTGGCCATAAGTTGTCTCATATAAAGTGACAAAGTACACGGGAAGTCATTTGTAATCCAGCATGACCTCAGATCTTCAGATCAACCAATATGGCCCAGGTCTCAGTTTAAAAGTGCTGACATTCTCTTTAGAGTCCTAAAGTAGGAGTGGGAAATTTGTGGACCTTGATATGTTGTTTGGCTTCAACTCATGTCAGCCTCAGCCAATACTTCCAGTGGACAGTAATGATAAGAGGTACGGCTAAGCAACATCTGGAGGGCCAAGCTTAGAAGTCCAGTGTGGGACTACATTATCTCATGTCCACCTTCACTGATATGATCCTACCTGAGCTTTAGTGCTAGTTGGCCTGAATTCAGACCTTCTGTTAATGAAGACCCAGCTGCAAGAGACTAGTGACAGAACCCTATCAGTGGTTAGCCTCCTCCACATTTGTAGCCTCCACATCTTCCCTCCCCTCTCCCAATTTCAGATATGCTTTGAAGACCTTATTAGTTTGGAAGGCTTTTTATAATTGATTTTTATTTGTTTGTTTGCTTTTAAGGAATTCCTGTTGTCGATGGCTGATATTTTTCTTCTACAGCTTGTTATATGAAATAATTGCACTTGTTCCACTTTAGTAGCATTGTAAGCTGTTTCTGAATGCTTTTAGATTTAAGAGAAGGGTATAAATATCTGGATGAATAAATGCAATAGAAATAAAATAGCCCCTAGTGCTGTTCAGCAAATGCTTCACTAAGTACTTGTACAAGAATTTACATAGTGGAATAGTGGCCAGCAGTTTCTCTAGCTGCTCTAATCATTCTTCTTGGGCAAAAAATGGTGCAAGACCTTGTTTCTCCAGATCTTTACACAAATTTACATATAATTTATATTCCTTTATGCAATGGTTGAGCATGAAGTGGAAGACAGCATTTCCGTGAACATTTTTGGTATGCAGAAGGAATACCATAGGATACAACCCAATCATAATTTTTCAGACTAAATGACTGCTCAGTGTGGTCAATATCTCTCACTCAGTATATTATTTATCAAAGCAGAACATTTGTTCAGATTTATTAATAATAGTACCATAATGGTATATTTCCTTTTGTCTTCTCCAGCACATTATACTTATTGAAATACATTCAACCGATAAATGCAAATAGAAACATTATATAGTTGTCAGGCACACTCTAAATATGTATGCTTATTACTTCAAATTACCTATTGATTTTGAACCCATTTAAATTGATTATCAATAGACATTCAGTTTCACTAATAAATGTAAAAAATATTTTACCACTTCTGTAAATGAGACATTTGCTATCTGCATTTCTTGTTTTAAAGGGTTAATTACTCAGAAACATTAAATGCACAGCTATTATAGGTTTTTACATGAAGCAAAACAAATGATTTATTATATGGCACTTGATTACAATCCAGTATAAATTTCAGATTAATGTAGATATTTTTTCCAGTAACACATTACACCTCTAAATAGCAGTCATGTCATAAATATGAACTACTGTAGGTGAAAATATATTTTATAAACTCAATTAAGGGGTCAACTGGCCTTTTATTGAGGCTTCAAGGTACTATTTTATTGCATAAGCATTGAAGACTCCCCCTCCTCCTTCTCCCAGAGCTAATTTGGTTACTGCATAGGCTGTCCAGACTAAGGGCCTATCCAGGTGGAGAAATTTGAAGCAATTTGGTACACGTTTAAAAGGCTCTTATCTTCAGTGCAATCTGAGAGATCCTTTCATTCACACAGGAGATATTTTCAATATTTTCACAGGCGATATTTAGATATTCTCCCATGAAAAGGGTCCATGCAGGTCTTTAGATAGCCAATTTACTGAGTAATGAGTAATGAGGCAAAATGGAGGAAAGTGGCAGTGCAAGGGGAAAATGTTGGGGTAAACATTGGGTAGATGGAAGGGACATAATCCCCATTTTCCTGCCTTTCTCCTCAGCCACGATCTGCTCATGCTGTACCACAAAGTTGACCAGCCTTTTTTACCATCTCTTCCCATGACTGTTGTTCTGTTGTCAGTGGTTACTTTATCTTTTGTTGTTGTTGTTGTTAAATAAAGTAAGTGGCATATTGAAAGAGCGATGCAACAAACTAACATGGTATTAGAATATTGCTACATCAGTTAGAGAAACATATATTTAAAAGATGAAAATAGAGGAAGGGATTTCTCAATCCTCCCTTTTAATGACACAGCCTATCTAATATGTCTCAAGGTTGTCTCCTCAGTTAATCCTGCCCACATCTCAATTCGGGTGCATAGTAGCTATCCACAATGGGCTAATTAGAAGCATGCTGAATCATATTTAAAACAGAAGCCCCTAGCACTATGCCAGGAAGGAGTGAGGCAGGCCTTAAAAGGGCAGGATGGATCAATCTAAGTAGAATTACAGTAGATGCTGGAACTGTTGCACCATACTGTACCAACAGCGATCCAAACAGCAATTAATAAATTAATTAACTTATTCATTCATTCATTCATCATTCATTTGTTCATTCAATTTATATACTGCCCATGTAGCCAATTGCTACTCTGGACATTGTGGAACAAAAAAATATAAACATAAATTATATAATTACTACAAAGTTTAGTCAGTACTACAAACAGAAAAAAAAAAACGCAAGATAGGCACAATAACCATTTCAAATCATAGACTACGATATTCCCTTCTCCTTTATCCACTGCACCAGCTACTTGGGGATAACCTTCTCAAAAGCTTCTCTGAACAGCTCTGGTTTTAAGAGCTTCTTAAATACACCAAGGGAGGATGCTTGTTGTAACTTCTGCAGGAGAGCATTACACAAAGAAGGTGCCACTGCTGAGAAAGCCCAGTTTCTAATGGTTGTTTTCTGGGCTTCTCGAGGTGCCAACACCCACAGGGGTGAAGTCAGCCAAACATGGCCGAATGCATTCAGGCAAGTATCTTTGAGAACAAGCCTGAAGACTCAGGATACTTTAGATGCAAATCCTTGTTTGGCATGAAAATTCACTGGGGCATAGCCAGTAACAAAGTATTATTTGAACAACTCACATAACCTTGAACACCTTGTAAAGATTGCCATAAACTATAGTTATTTAATGGCACATAATAACAACAATCTCTGGGTCTAGCTATCTCACAAGAATCATAATGCTTTTTTAACACAATGTTTGAAATATCTGTCTTATTTTTCTACACCTTGTACTGGGAAAAATTCTGTTTCTATAAATGTACACTGGTGTAGCTTGGATGGGCAGAGGAAATATTTAATTTAAATGAATTGAAAACTTCCTATCTCCCTTCTTCAGATTCTGAGGCTCCCTAGGCTGCCTTTTCCCTGGAGAATCCTTTAGGAGACTTGAGATGGGGAGAAGCCTATTTATAAATTGTTGCCGGATTGCCAATCCCAGCAGAGGCAATCCAGTGGCTATTTTTTATGATTAAAGCATCTCCGCACCTTGTTCTGAGGCTCACCCAAAGGCTTTCCAAAGGCAAAAAAGCACCCCAGTGAACCTTGAACCTGATGTGGGTTGGGAGGAATTTTTCAATTATTTCAAATTAAATATTTCCTTTCCTGATTCAGTTTACACTGATATAAATGTATGAAACAGGATTTTGCCCATTGATTACTTTCTTCTTTTTGTCTCATTCTGTGACACTAGTCAGTGCAGACTGCTGACACTGAAATATTCTTTCTCCTGGCCTTTGGCTCAGAAGCCTGCCTTTTCTCCAAATCTGTCTTCATAGATCAAGGCTTTCCATTACTTTGTCCTTATGCTATACAATTTTCCCCTTCTTTTCCCTTCCCTTCCGTTGTCTT